CTTTTGGAAGACGTCCATGAGATACTTTTATTCAATTTTCCTTAAGGTGGGAGTGCTGCAATGAGTCCTTGCTCTCTTGAATAGTGTTTGTATGCAATTCCTTTTGTGTGTTATTGGGTTGTTGCTGTTGTAATTTAGGATTTGGTCTGTGTGAGTTGATTTCCTATAAACTTGAGTTTCTCACTCCCCTGTGGTTGTTCGCTTGACTAAGACGTCCAAAAATGGCATTTTGTTCTCGGATTCCTCTCCTCTTGTGAATTTGATGTCGTTGAAGACGTTGTTTATTAAGTTGTGAGTTCTATCTAACTCGTTTCTTTTGATTATTACAAATGTGTCGTCGACGTAGCGTATCCAAATCTTGGGTTTGATCTTTGGTAGAATTATGTTTTCAAGTCTTTGCATCACTGCTTCTGCAATCAAACCTGATATTGGCGATCCCATGGGTGTTCCTTTGACTTGTTCATATATTTGGCCGTTGAATTGGAAGTATGTTGTTAGGCATAGATTTATGCATTCCATCCAGCCTGTGTGTTGCATTTTTGATTGTTGTGGAAGTTGTTCGTCGTTGCTAAGTAATTGCTCCATGGTTTCTTTTGCTAGTTTTTGTCCGATGGAGGTATATAATGCTGTCGCGTCGAAGGATACCATTATTTCTTGTTCATCTATTTGGATGCCTCTGATTTTCTCTAGGAATTGGATAGCAGAGTTGATGGAGTGATCGCAAGATTCCGTCAGGTGTTTTAGTTTTCTGTATAATTCTTTGGATAAATTATATGTTGGAGTTCCTGGGAGTGATACAATTGGTCGTAACGGGATATTTGCCTTGTGTATTTTTGGTCTGCCGTAGAATAGAGGTAGGACTGGTCCATTGGACTTCATTCGCCATTGGTCTTGTTTTATGATCTGTCTAGTTTTGGTGAGCTTGTTTAAGGTCCTTTGGATGCGGTTATCCAATGTTTGCATGGGATTTGTTGGGAGTTGTTGATATACATCCTCATCTTTGAGTAGTTCTTCAGCTTTCTTGGTGTATTCTTCTCTGACCATGACTACTGTTGTTCTTCCTTTGTCGGCTGGTAGAATGACGATGTCTTTCCTATTTTTCAGCTTTTTGAAGGCCTTTAGTTCTTGAGCGTTGAGTTGTGTGTGTTGTTTTTTCTGTTTGACCATTGGTACAATTGTTTGGCGTATCTCTTCCTGTGTTCCCTCGTTCAAGTTTGATGATTTGAGTAATGATTCAAAGGCAGCGAAGAAATCAGTTTTCGAAGCATCTCCAGTGTTGTAGTTTAATCCTTTTTGTAGTAGTTGTTGTTCCATTTTTGATAGTGGTTGTTTCGATAGGTTGACTACGCAGTCTATAGGCGTATTGTCTGGTTGTTGTTTTCTAATCTTGGCTAGCTTGGTTTTGAGGACTCTTCGTCTTTGTTCTCTGTGTTTTTCACTTGACAGTGTGATTGCGGTGATCAGCGTTGATAGGTGTTCCTGGTTGAGGGTTTTCTCTAATTTTGCTTTTTGGATATCTATAATTTGTTGATATTTGTTGATCCGATAATGTGCGTCTGTAATCATTAATTTGACCATTCGTCTTCCACATTGTTCGGCTAATTTCCATCCCATTGGGCAGTTGACTGGTGGTTTGTATCTTACACTGTTTGGTAGGATGTGATGACGAAGGCACTCATGGAGAAAGAATAATTGTTCTCTGGTGGATCCTTGCCTTTTGGCGAAGTCTTCCCACTTTCGAACAGAGAGAAGCGTATCCCGCTCGTAAGATTTAGATATGATAGATAAGATTTGTAGCTCAGGTGGATGATTTTGATGTGGTTTTGTTCTCTGAGCTGGATGGTTAATTTGCGAAGCTTTCATCACCCTACTGGGTGACATCTTCAGCGCATACTTCAGTTTGAAGTGAGCTTTTAGATTTCTCCACGAGTTTATTAATCATCTCCCCTGGTGACCTTGGACATGATTGGTTGTTTATGTGTGTTTTTACATCTTCTAGGTTACTTGTATTGGAACTGACTGTTTCTTTGACTTGAACTTTGGCCCTTAGTGTGTGAAGTTTCTTTCTTATTGGTTGATAAATTTTGT